TTGTAATGCATAAATATGAAATTTGTTTAGATATTGTTAAAAGTTTATACATTGAGTAATGAAGAAAACATGCACTTACATGAAGTAAAAAGAAAAAAATATTCAAGTATCATTATTTTGTAAAATATATTTTGAACTTTTAGGAAAGGACCTGGCAGAGTTCCTCGGAAATCTACCACAACTGTTTTGAAGACTGACAGAAATGAAGATGTGGCAATACTTCAAAAGTAGGTTCTATTTATTTTTTCCCTTCTGTGTATAGGAAAATTCTCAACAAAATACATCTCAACTACTTAGCTAATTTTGTATTTTACTTAACTTAATCTGGCACAGAGTAATTACAGTAGAATCATTCATGAGAATCAAACTCTCTCCCAGCTAATGATTTCTAAGAAAAAAAAAAATTGCTAATCATCATAGGTACCTATCTTAGCTTAATTGGATATTGTTTAAGCATCTAATTCTTTGGATATTGTTTTACCAAAATAATTATAGTTTTCAATCTTTTTCTGTACATTCTAGAAACCATGAACAGCAGAAAGAGTCAAAACCCACTTTTACCAGACCACTGCCACAACAGAGTCAACACAGGAGAAGCCTCTCTACTGGTAACCTGAACCTAAACAAATCGAGTGAAATGCACCAGAATATATCACATCATTTAAGTAAAAACAACACTCTCCAAAAATTTAACAATTCAGAGAAACTGAATAATGGGTTATCAGTGTCTATGGAGAAATTGAATCCTAGGAGGTCAATGTCAGCTGAAAATATTAATTCAGATCGGTTAGGATTCTCAGAAAGGTTATGCCATTCTCGAACCAATTCTGAAAAGTCTAGTGGAACATTAAGTAAACCCAGTGGAGTTTCCAAGATCAGATCTAATCTTGTACCATCAGCAAACAGGTTAGTATATTCAGTAGCTGAATATTTTTTGAGAAAATACTGTTTCGTTACCAGTCAATGGGCAAATAATGCAGTAAGTTAATTCAGGATTTTTATGTTATTTCTTCTCACCCATTATAGAAATATTATTGGACATTGTTTTGTAAAGTTCTAATGTAATTTTTTTTTTTCTCTTTAATTTCATATTTTTGCAGTTCTTGTTTTCTTATTTTTAACATGTTTAACTAATATATTCAGCTTTCCTTAGGAGTTTGCTGTCTTCAATCATTAGAAGTGGATTGATACCATTTTCTGTAAAAGAAAACAAAAAAAGCAGACAATAGTATGAAAATAAAATCCTGCTACTTTGAACTATTGTGGATAATAGTTGACATTAAGATATTCTCAGATTTTTGTGGGTCAGTCTTTGTCCATTTATGTAGAATACCATTTACAACTGAAAATCTTTCAATAATCCTATAAGAGTGTAAAATGTTTAGTTTTCTAAAACATGGGCTAAAAAGCCAGTATTATTGGCAAAAACAAAAAATTGTTAGTTCAAAAGGAATTGTAGAAATGCTAAGAATACATATTTAGAGTGGTATTAAACGTGATGAATGTTTTTTTTTTTTTTCTTTTCTTTTGTATAGAGCAACTAACAGCAACAGCAATCAACTTACAAGTGCTGAGCTTGAATTGCAGAAGATTGAGGAAAAACGCCAAGAAGCTTTGGCTGTAAAGAAATTAGCTGAAGAATCTTTTAAAAATAGTCTCAAGTCCAAAGGCTATGTTCCTGTGAATTCTAATTGCAAACCCACTGTGGCAAAAGGATTTGAATTCAGAACAGACAAGCGGCTTCGCACTCGTTCTGCAGATTTTGTAAAATCTCCTGTTACTGATTTATCTCAGATTTTGCGGAAAGATAATTCCATTCAGGTAAGTTGGGAATGTGGGATTAAAGTAAAAATGCAAGCTTTTAATTGTAACTTTGCAATTTAGATGGTTACAGGATTTTTTCCTTCTTTTTAATGTTGGTTTACAATTCTATACAAGTGTAGAGATGTGACTTTCCTTTAAGAATAAAAATGTCAGGCAATTGAACTTTTGTGGGAATTAACTAACTTAAATTATTGAATACAGTACAACTAAGTCCCAGTAATTTCTATATACCATATTACAAATGTTTGTTTTTTTTTTTCCTAAAGTTTTTTCATTAGTTCAAATTGTAATAAAGAATTTACATATATTGTAACTTCGTTTATTTTTTATCCATATTTAATGTTCATAGAATTAATGTGAAAATGATTAGTTTTCATTGATGCTAAGTACCACATCAGTAAAAGTATTTTTTTTAAGAATATAGCATCATTATAATTAACTATTATATATAAATTGTTTGGGCATAATTTTTCTGAAATAATAATAAATGCTTGTCTTTTAGTATAACAAACCTCCTAGGAAGACAGTGGTGCACCCTTTCAAATTATCTGAAAATAACAAAATGGAAGTTCCTGTTCAGAAATTTCAAACTGTGGCAGAACAGGTTAGAAATTTTTACAAGAAAACTCCAGAAAGATTCCGAACACATTCAAAAGGTTAGTTCAAATGCATTTTTGCTATATAAACTTGCAATTTAACAAAGAAAACAAATTGTATTTTATAGAAAAACTCTTAAAATTATGGGTTTCTTAAATTGTGGGTCATATTTCATCAGTATTTTGAATTAAACAAATCCTGTGCATTTTGCATGTCTATAGCCTGCATAATTAATGTTATGAAACTTTAATCATGCAATCACACGTATATATGACTCTTTTTCATTGTATTAAATTGTTACATTGAAAATTTTGTAAAATATAGAATTTAAACTTTTGATCTGTTGTAGATATTTCTTTATAAAACTTTTTCAACTATATGCAAAATATCAATTTCTTCTCACTTGAATTCAATATAGATACAATCACATTACATTGCATAACAACTTCTAAAATTTCTTCATATGAATGAAGTTATTCTTTGTTAGGCAGAAGTTCAAATTTGAAAGCGATATTTTTCATCTTGAAAACATTTTTCAAAGATTATGGTAATGACAAGATTAGCTATTCCGTTATAAACAAACAGCATTCATTGACTGAACAGTTAGCATTACTGTTGGCTGAAATTTATAAAATCTCTCTTAAAACAGTTTATCAGGAAAATGGGTTTCTTTTTCTTTTACTGGAGGAATATGAATGGTATGAGGTTGAGTCATCTCAGTGTACATGAGATCCTAGCTGTGAATGTGGAACAAAGGAACGTAGTTCAGCCAAATATCTGCCTTAAAAATAGTGATATTAGTGAGAGGCTAGCAATGTTTCATCTGTGGGAAAGTGGTTATAGGATGAAAAATAATTCTTCACCCACAAGGCTTCATGAATGTTTTTGAACTCTGTTAGGGCCAATAAGTGAGGATTGGGCAACTACAGCCCAGATATGGCAGCAGATAGAACTACATTTTTGGTCTGATCTAAACAGCATTGCAGTCAAGTGCTTTCTGGTGTGATCAATCATTTTCCCAGCTTTAGTGATGGATAGTACATGAGTTTGAACATGAAGCTTTAATCTCAATGGATGAGAGTGCACTCAAGGTCTGCTCTAAGATGATGAAATGTTATTAACTTGATTTTGGTGGTATTGAATGTTACAATCCAATTCCTACCCCAATTAAGTTGTGTGAGCAGAGTCGGAGGAGAGATCATTTGTTAGGCTCCGGACATTTTTTTTTTTTTTTTTTTTTTTTTTTTGAGTTTGGAGATACATTCTTAAACTGATATTGTCTGCATATATATATTTACAAATGATTTGAAAATGTTCTTAGGTAAATATAAAGCAGAAAAAAAGGTAGGACCAAGAAGAGCACTGTTATCTCTCTTGTATTGTAAGAAATTGTGGAAAAGCAACATTTTAATTGTCATTATTTTCACTTTAAATTACATGTAATGGCCATTTTAGTCTTCAGGTGATGTGGTTTTTGTTATTCTGCTGCACCAATCTACAAGATCAGACAAAGGAGATGCATTGGTTCATTCTCTTGAATCCATTCTTCATCCTTGATCTGAGAAAACTGTTGTATATAGCTGATGTTTTAGGCATTTCTGAACAAGTTGGACAGCATGCATGACAACCATCTAGATCTGACTGCTATTTAAGAACATGACTAGAGTTCTTGATGTTTTGACTTTGTAGCATCTAGCACAGCCTATTTTGTGTTCATTTTCCTTATTTCCTACACTAAATTGGTTATGATCTATACATTGATATATTTTAAGTGTTCAGTATATATTAATTACATGTTTTGAATTTTTATGATGGATTCAGAGTATGTACCATCACCGTTTTCATTCCAATTCCAGATGATAGTTTCTGTTTTAGAAAGGTTTATGATGCTCTACTTCTTGGAACACTTGTTAAAGAATGTTGTGTGTGTGTGTGTTTTGTTTTTTTTATCAGGATCACTCTTATTCCAACTATGAATGTCATCAGCATTCTTCCTCTTGAGTGAAAAACAAGAACACTGTTTTCTAACAGGTTTGTTCAAGATTTGGTATGGGATGTTTATATATACATATTGTATATTTCTGTCATTCTAGTGTAGATTTCTTTACTTATATAAAGGTAGTGGATAACAGCCCATATATGGAATCTACAATCCTCTGCATTACATAAATTACTGTGAGGTTGTGAATGGTTGGTCTAATCAATATAATTTTGACTAATTTTTTTCATCTTCTGTTTGACATTTTTTTTTTTTTTTTTTTTTTCCCCACTTGAAAGACTTTTTCCAGAAATTCCAGTATAGCACTTTTTGATAGAGAAAATATTCAATTTTTATTTTTATGTGAAAAAAAAAATTTAGGAAATAAACCTCAAAATTCTTGGTCTCAACCTCGCTGTACAATACCAAAGACACCTAATTTTACATGCCAGCAGAGATCACGTCCAGTGAATATTCTTAGTACAAAAGAAATTGAAGAAAAGGAATTTGAAGAAATGCAAAAGTAAGTAAAATATATCTATTCTTTGAAATTCTGAAAATAAAATTATAAAATCAATTTCTGGTAGTTTTTTAAAATTCTTATGCTAAATTACAAACAACTACCATTGAAAGATAAGCCATGAAAAGAAGGAAAGATAGGATGTGTAAATCTTAGTGGGCACCAATGATAGGACTAAACATAGTGTATTAATTTCAATAGTCAGCTTTTATATCACAATTTTTTACATCAAGAACAATTGTTTATTTCCAATAATGCATTAGGTACAAAAAGGGCTATGTATTGGAAAACCACTTAGTTGTGAAGTCTGAGCTGAGCTGGATTGTATCTCAACTCATTAGATTAAGGATAACCCAAGAGTTTCATTTGTAGATATGGCACATAGTGAACCATTTCAAAAGATTTTGATGAGCTATTTTTTCTTATATGAATGTTCAAGAAAAGTGATGAAATATTACATTTTGAGTACTCTTGCTAAAAAATTCAATAAAACAGCTTTTACTGTAATATGAGTATCTAATTTGGTAAAATTATGCAATTTTTTGACTCATCAAAAAAGGGCAGTAATGATTACAAAACATAAGAATTTGGGCGGTTTATCCTGTTACACTGTTTTTTAACTACATTCACTCTTTGACAATGTTTGTTTTTAAAAAGCGATGATTAGAATTGGTATAAAACCTAAACGTATGAAAGTGAATTTATACATTGTGCAATCTTAGCATGGATACAAAATTGTACAACATCAAAACTCTTTATAAATTATATTTTCAAATTTATTTTAGTTACTGAACAAATCATTAGGACTTTATTGACTATAGTCTTATTGTGCTTTTTAGGATAAAATGTATATAACACAGTAAAATGCTTTTTATTGTATGTTACAATAAAACAAACACTGAATCTGAAAATGTCCAAAGAGAAAAGAATACCATTAATCTCCTTTTCACATGGAAATTGGAGTGCTGGATATAATCTATTCAATGCTTTGTGGAAAACCAGCTCATAAAGAACACAACAAAAAATTTTGTTCATATATTACTGCAAAAGTTTTAGCTGTCGATGGACCCAATGGATTGCCCGTAGAAATGCTAACAATTTGCAGGTACATAATATCAAAACTGAATTCAACTGATAGTGACAAACTTTATAAACTCAAAGCTAACTGACCTGACAACCTCGTAAGTATCAACTGGAAATACTTTGTCTTTGACCAACTTGAGCTAAATTATTTGAAAATTAATCTTAATGGATTTTGTTTTGTCACAATTATCTACTGGATCTAGTTTAACTCTCACCTCATCATTCAAAATTGTCATTTCATTAACAGAGGTATCATAATCAAGACTGACAGCATCAACCACTTTATTGGGTTTTGTGATAACTAAAGATTTATTTGATTAAGATTTTACAATACAAGAGTTTGAGTTGCCCCATGAATTCAGATCGTGTTGGAGTGCCAACATATGCATGAGCAAGTTCATTAAGCACTCACTCAATTTATAGTATTGCATGAGTGCCAGAATTAAGACTTTCTTCTGTACAGTGAATGTCCTGTGAGTACTTTTCAAGTGACCTTTGGTGCATTCTATTATATACCTATTAAAAACCAAAATTTAATCTTTGTCATGCTTACTACAGTGTCTGTGTGAAATGACAGTTTAATTTTATGTGTCTATTTTAGTTGTAGAGGGAATTTGAAAATGTATTTTTATTGTGTATTTTCAAAGTCCTAAAGTTCCATAATATAATTTCAACAAGTTGGGTTGTAAGAGAAAGTTGATAACTTTAATTTTTTTTTTTTTTTTTTTTTTTTTTTAAAAAAAATATCATGCAGGGGCTCTTATATATTCTAGTTAAAATCATAAGGGGGCGGGGTGACAAGATTTGACAAAGGAAGAAAATAAAATACAAATACTTTGTTCAACTTGCTTACAATAACAGCAAAACAAAAAACTTGGTTATAACAAAAATGGTAAAACAATTTATTCCAAATTCTAAATGTAACATATAAATACAAAAAATATGGGTACCATGAGGAGAAATGTAATGTATGGAGTGTATATGGAAAAGAGAAAGAACCTAACCAATCCACAATTGGCTGCCAAGATTCATATATCTCCTGTAATGGAAACCACCTAGTGTTGTGTCGGAAACCTAACACCCCTCTTGAAGATGAACTTGTCTGCATCTGTGAACAAAGACTTTAAATAGTGGCATGTCAGTTGACATGGGGAAGACAGATAGACAGAAGTTCTTAGCTGAGCTAGTTGACTACTCAGGCGATTTCTGTACCTTTTTACCAACCTATTAAAACCCTTTTTATTGTTACGTGTTATTTGGCGTTTGTCTCTACTAACCCCAAATCAACATCATACCTATGCAAGAGCCTCAAAAAAAAAAAAAAAAAAAAATAGAAGGAAAAGGAAATCTTAACCATACTTCTTATACAAGAAACATTGTTTTACTAGAAGGATGAAAGGTAGTGAAAGCTGCAAAAACAAAAATAAGTTTGAACAATATCCTCTACAGGAAATGCACAAGAAGTCAAAACTCTAAGCCAAAGATTGCTACAACTGTGACTGGAGGATTGGCTGATGAAGATCTTTTATATTTTTTAAACCAGAACAGGAAGAGTTAAGACTTTTTTTCTTTTGTTCTTTGTGCGCATGTAAATAAACATTTTCTTCCTTTATTGTTTCACACTGAGCAGTAGTTTGAGTCTTTATTCATTTTTTTTTTTGCCTGAGAGTCACCTAAAAATAAAGAATTGTCCACTCCAATCTTTCAAACCACTGTTGCTTTTTTCAATTTTGTTGCATTTTTAACCTTGGGCCTTTCATGTGGGAAAGCCAGTACAAATTTCCCACAGGTAGCATGTCCATAGGATACTATAGTCAGATTTCTTTAAATACAAACTTGCAGGCAATTGCTCTATCAGAAAGGTAAAATTATAGGTTTCTTTTTCCAATCAAGGACTCTGTGTACAATAATATAATCCAAACATACCTTCCAGCAACTGGCTTGTACTTGGCCATAGATTTAACCCTATGTGAGTCATAGACTACAATTGGAAAGTACACAATGACACCTGTGGAAGCGACCATTTTCTTATATTGGAAAATTCAGGCTTTAAACTTAACAAAAAAACAGCATCATGATGGAAACCTACAAAAATGCTAACAGGGGAAACATTTTTTACTGAGGAAAACACCAAAATCTTCCACCTCAACCAATATACTGAAACTAAATTTGTGTATTTTTATAACCTCTGCAAAATGCTTAATGACTCTTAGCTAAAATTAGGTAATAACGAAATACCCATAGTCAAACAATATAAATATCTAGGCATGATATTTGATAAAAAAAATTTCATCCAACACATCAAGTATATGAGAAGAAAATGACACAAAGTAATCCAGCTACTTAGAGTAGTAGCACATAGAATTGGGTAGAGGGCAAAAAAAATCATTATCAAGATGCTTCTGATCCAAACTAGAACATGAATTTTTTATCTATAGGTAAGCAAGGACTACCAGATAAATTTTTGATCTACAGTGTAGAAAACTTAGCTATAGATTTAGTACCAGAAATCCTTTCAAAGAACCAACTTAATAAATCCATACTTTTTTTTTTACTTATATCACTACAAAACAAATGAAAATCCCCCTCATTATAAACAAGATAAATATTATTTCCAAAAATAAGGATATCTAGGAAATTGGAAAAGCTTATAAAGCAGCAGAAAACTCAATAAACATGAGACCCTCAAGCACAAAAATTTCATACATTGACTTGTGTCCAACTATCAACAAGTTTATGAAGGACGAATGACAACAGTTGTGGAACAAATTCACACAACATGAAGCAGATTTGGGGAATGGCACCCAGGCTGAAGAAAGATAAATGGAAGAGGTGGTCCTAGCCACAAACCAACATCTGTCAAGAAATGAAAAACCACCATTGTGCATACAATATCAGGAACCATAAGCAATTGAGCATGTATTGATAATCTGTAGAGAATTCCAACAAAGATGAGCTAATTATAATTACTACAGAGCAGATGACCTAAAGGAAGTGTTTATAAACTGCTAAATCTCACTTGGTTTGGTACTTTCAAAGGAGATTTTCCTCTATAATATAGTTACAATTTATTTCTGTACTGTTTATGCTTTGTAAAGTCCTACAATTTATCTTCATGCAAATTGTACCTGGAAAAACTTTTTTATCGCCAAAATTCTTAATGTTCCTTTGCAAAAAAAAAAAAAAAAAAACTATTCTTTTACAATGGAAAAATATATTTTGGCTTTAAATAACTCACAAAGGGGTTGATAAAACAGATCGGTCAATCCTCCAACCATACTTTGAGGAGCTAGCTAGTTTTGCTTTCCTCTTTTGCCCCAACTGTAAGGGATGAAATTTCTTGGTCATGTTCTCATGGCTTAACTCTACAGAGTTCTCTATTGGGTTGTGCTGATGTTGTATGGACTGTAGATCTCTTTTCCAATAAACCCTTGATGTAAGAAAGACAGACTGGCAGTTTTCTAGCCTAAATCCTCTGCCACACACCACTTTTTTGTATACAGAAGCTGGTATGGTTACACAGTAGTTGTTTGTCTGAAGAGTACTTATGTTGATCCTATCTTATTGGTATATGTTTAGGTTGCCTCTTATGGATTTTGCATGATGTTGTAGGCATCAGATGATCACTTTCTTTAGCCTATATGGATGGTAGGAATTGGTCTGAAGGTTGATGTATACCCATTGTCTCTGTCCAGGAAGGCCAGCTGATTGTTCTTTTTTTTTTTTTTCCATTGAAGTTATGTATGTAGCTTGGCCATACCGTGTGCTTTAGTCGTATCATTCCTGAAGCCATTTCCTTTAAGTATTCTTGGTATGTTTGCTATCACTGGTGACAACAGCAAACCCATAGCCAGGAATTCCTCCTGTTGGTATATGTCACTCTATTTTGTAGAATATTGTCCGTACACATATTGTCTGTA